TGTTGTGTTGTGTAAGGTGTCTCTAGTCCCTAACACCATCGAACGATTTCTAACCTACCTTTATTTTACGGTTGCATAGGTTGGTCTCATCAGGATGTGAGCTATGTGAAATTTATGCCACGTCCAAAGTTCCGTCTATGGTGGATTCCAGTGATGCTCGTATGGTTCCTCGTTCTGGTAGCTACCGTCTTCCTGATTGGACAACTATGTGGTTCACAGAGAGACTGGGACTTCATGCGTGCAGACATACAAAACATAGTTCACAATGTGCAGACTGCATCATTGGTCACATGGAATCCAACAAAGCCGGTACCACCCATGCCCGTTCCCCCAGTACGTCTTTTGTGCCTTTACATATGAATTCTCCGGATATGTGGTGCTGCAACTTAGGCATATTCATAAGCGTGTTTTATTTTGGTTTGTCACAGTAGGTGTTTTCCACTGTGCTGCATTTGAATCCACTGAAACTGGATGGGAGGGTTCTGAAACTATTGAAATCTCCAACCAATGATCAAAAGACAAGCATGAGACCGTCATATGCTTCATGTCCAGACGGCCAGTGTGGCCCGTAAGCCACGGGGCTATTAGGTCCCTTTGTTTAGGTCTCACTCAGTGCGCATATCTCAGTAGCCGTTTTATTTCTTGAATTCAGGACAAATAACAGTAAAAAACGAGTAGCCAACTAGATTTGCAACCATGTGCCTGTTCAACGAATTTAGCTGTAAGGAAGTTCATGTTATAAGTATGTGACGTTGCTCAAAATTAATATTTATCTTTACTTCTGTGACTTATTAACTAATAGACCACCGCACCGCTCTCAATTATTTCTAGCCCGGTTTGCTGAATTCTCTCACTCTCCAACGGGATCTGTTCACCCCAGAGACGTATACAGCCCTACAATCAACCATTCGCATGTATCAAGACTTCTCCGATATGTCTGCCCTCTGGCGGCAACTGTGGCTTGCAGAGGTGAGCCTGTGGATTACTCTGAATGTATTCTGCCTCATTTAGACTATTGAATCGAACTACCCAAACAGTTGAATATGTTCACAGTATTTTTCTCTGACAAGTTATCACCTCCATGAACATAAATTCATAGCTTGACCCTCTTTACATCCGTCTTCCACCAGAACGGTGACAAGGTCAAAGGACAGCTTACTCTCAGATCAAAACAGGAATGGGAATATAGGTACAGAACGGAAACAACAAAGCAAGGAATCCCGTTATTCACAATGAGAATAGAAGAAAAGTATGGGCGCCCACGGCGTCCTAAAGCGAGAGGTGCCATATTGGATTAAAATTAAACACCAGGACGACAAGGACTTTCTGATCGCAAACGAACTTTACGGTCATATTTGACAGCATGCCCGAGAAGGATCTATTCATGGTGGTAACATCAGATGCCGTGTATCGTTCAAGTCCGTAGATCAAAGATAAACAGAAATGATGGAACTGGGTAGCCTCAACTTGACGTAGCTGGGCAATAAACCGCGCAATTCGCAGTTTTTTCCGCATTTTCAAGGTAATCAAGGGAAATATGTGCACAAATAGAATAAGGGTTAATACAATGTTTGTAGAAAACTAAGAGGAACTTGGGGACGCGCATAACCCATTCTATCGTTCGCCCACACAGTTGTTCCTACTCCCTTTGATTGATTCAGGAGAAGTCCGCATGATTCTCTTGAAATTTGTCAAACACTTCACGTAAAATAATGATAGATACATGACATTGTCACTGCGTATTTTTATTCCGAAATTTGCCGAAGTTGAGGGACAAAACAAGCGTTCATGATCCCACTAACAGCGCTGTTGTCCCAAACAAGCCGTTTTGTCCTAGTAAGCCTTTGAGTAATAACTGAACCTGAACCAGACTCTTTTACTACTCTTTTCATCATCAGTCTTCTACAGAGAGTATTATAACCCCCAAAGACCTATTTACAGTCAATCTGAGCATTCATCACATTGAGTCCAATAAGCTATCACCCGCCTCTAAAATGTGTCAGAATTCCGTTTCGCCTCACCTGGGGTTAATGGGTGTCAGCTGTGATGCATGGTCGGAAGTGGACCATCCGAAGTGTTTATCTTTGCTTGAACATACACAAGCAGCTGTTTTCTCGCCAGCCGAATACATGCTACTATCCTTCGAGTTCACCGAATCTGAAAACGCATCTCACGAGAAGTTTTTTTCGGACTGTACAATGTTGCACCCACTATAGTATTTGGATGGCACAGTGCACCAGTGTAAGAATGTCGTGTTCGATTTTATGGCTTTACTGGCAATCCGAATCGGAGAGACACACTCAGACAATCCAATGGGCGGCGTCCTGCCCTCTCGTGCATTTGCTTGGAATTACTACTGTTTCACACATCGGCGGTCGCTGGATCTGTGAACGTGATTTCCCAACCTTAGAATAGCCCTCTCATTATCGATTTGGTCCACTTGTGCAGTGTTCAGCCGTGTGTAATGTTCATGGACGCTTGCTACATTCATTCATATAGTGTCAAAGTGGCAACATTCAGTCCTATTGGGGTGCATTTACCGCAACCCAGTCTAAACGGTGAGGTTTATGCACCCTAGTTGGGGAGAAACGTTATGGATTTTTTTCAGTAGGATTGGGATTTGGTCTTGGAACTGTAATCATTTCCCTTTAGGACGAGCACAGAAATGGTTAGTTTGAGCGTGGAATTGTCCTTTTGTGGGATTTGGTTCTCTGGGTCCTGAATGAGTTTGAGAAGCGTGTTTGAATTCATTTCCATGCAGAAGTGCACCCAGAATTATTTGCTCCATTTTTTTTGGCCATTTTTAACTGCAGTGGCTTTGGTTGAGTCTCCCGATCTTTGGTATTGTTTTTCGAAATGGGTTGAGTTCGATCATCCCAAAGTACTGAACAACATTGATTGTCATTTCATTGCTGCGATTCTGGCTGCATTGGTTAAGTCCATGTTTGTTGAAAATAGCTTCCACTTGTTACGTGCAAATGCACACCATCTGTAACCTAAGCCTGTGAATTTCCAATTACATAGCAGTATATGATTAGCCTTGGAAAGTAATCAGCCCATCAACCGTTTCATCCCGATTGGTACTAATGAGTTGCGTGCAACAGGAGCGGTCACCTGTCCCCTTTTTTAGCATTTTTATTCTGTATACTGGCACTAAATTCTGAACCTACCTAGCGTGACATGATCGTTTTACAAACCCACAGATTCCGTAGTTGACGTTATCTTTAAGTTTCGTACCTAATTCATCATAATATCCCTCCTGGTACCACACTTATATGAGTAATTTGAAAAGATATTCATCGTAGTTTTGTCCCAAGGTTGCCTAGTCCGCAATATGCCATTATTGGGGCACAGATTATGATCATTGATAATCATAACATAACACAAGGTATATGAACTAATAACAGTTTTTACGATGGTAGATAGTATTTTATAGTTAATAGTTGCACCAGGCCAAGATAAATACATGCGTGCATAATATATAGCATTGTTCCAACGCGTACAAGACAGGAACTGACCTATTGGTCTACCTTGCGAGCCGGTCGGAGTTATTTGTGCGTTTGTGGAACAAAGGAGTTGCGTGATCTAATGAGCACGGACAAATTAAGCAAAGTTGATTGAAGGAACAAGTAAGTAACCGCTACAAGCTTAGTTCTACATGGTTCTTGTGCACCAACCTAGATTTGACAGATGATGGGTTCAGCACAACCGTGAGTGCTCGGTGAAACGCGATGAAATTAGGTTAGATACCGATTTCCTCCTATTTTACTGGTGGCTTCTCGGTGCAGATAGACCACAGCCTTTAAAAAATTGTTTTGGAGTATTTGTGTGACGAAGGAAAATAATTCTGCTGCATCTCATTCAAAATTTAAAAAAATGACGTGATCATTCTCGTATTGTGGGACGGACGATTACTTGCTTGCTATTATGTTGTAACCTATGGGTCGTCAGCCATCTGTATGTTTGTAAGTCTGTTTTATACGCTTTGGTCTATACTGCCAACAAGCATTTCATTGGAAAGAAAACAGTCATGTACTTGCGCACCCACACAGTTATGGGCATCTTGAGGCACGACTGTGGTACGTGGCCCAGAAAAAGCAGTCAATTTTTCCCCTACTGACTGTTTCTGTTATCGAAATGGTGCGAATTATATTGATTTTAATGCTTTCGCACAACCCTACGCTGTGGATTTTGGATTTGATAACCTGAATTCTCTTAACTTCGAGGGTTAAACATCTCAGAACCGCCAAATTGTTCAATAATCAAGTTGAGAAAAGGCCTAGAACTGATCAACCGGTCATCCTTTCAAGAAAGCTTGGTAAACACCGAGCACTTATCGTGCTCTTTCGAAATAGAAGGTTATTGTGCGCCATCCGAATCTCAGTGTAACAACACTTATTCTGTGGAGTTTGATCTAAAAAATGAATAGAAAATATATAGAAAATGTGCAATATTGTAATATTTGCAAAACGATTCTTTGATAATGTGTTACATACAGCCAGAAACATGTGTGCGAACGCTCCAAGGTAAAGGGAGCGGTTGGAGCTTGCCTGTTATTACTCACCGGTAAAGAGAGAGAGAGAGCAAACTTCGAAAAAAATTGCTTGCTGTCCGTCAAATGGCATGAGCACTGCTATCCAGGAATTGCATCATTTCCAGAAGAAGCGGAAATTTTCTGTCGTGCTAGCCATTCCGCACTCAGAATTGCGTCTAAAATCTTGCTAAAAGTTGTCTCAAATTTCGTTACAGTGTGCCACTGAGATATACTGCCCAGCGGCAGAAAAAGTTGGAACCAAGCCATTAGATTTGCATCTGCAGGACATTCCTTCTTCTCCACACACTTGAGAAGTACCATTTCAAGAGGTATTTGCAGATACCAGGTTCACGGACTCCATGTGTGATTTGTATAACAGTTTCTATGATCCCGTCTTGGCCTCTCTGCGACCGCATGATGAATTGCACTTTTTCCCTGTTATTCCGAATTCAGGATCGCGAAAACCTGATCGCCTCGTCAGAACTATTTATTGAACATCTTCGGGCACACATGGAGGAAAATTCCAGTGAGTCTTCTGTGTGACCACCGCATGGAATCATCTCCGTTCACAACACATACCGCCAATAGATGAAAGAGAACGATTATTTCTCCACGACCAGATGCATTGCTCGATCGAGAAACTTGGCATAAGATGTACTTCGACGACGGTTTTCTTCCTTTTTTCGCGTGTTTCGGGGAGTTAGCAAATTCCGTCACAAAAAATCCTAAGTGGATCTCGTGTGCTCACTAAAATCATCGCTTCTCAAAGGCTGTTTAATTTCTTCAACTAAGTAATCGGCCTATTAACATGTAAGAGGATGAAGATGACAGTGATAACTTCAAGACCTTTTGTACTGCACCAGTTATTCGTTAGATTACACGATACATTGCATCATTAAGTGGATTCAAACAGTACGACCTGTACATGCTCCACAGAACACTCGACATTGTCAGCTTTAGTGAATGAGGCCGACTGCTGGTCATTTTCTCGACTTTTTTCGTGTTAAGAAGTCTTGGCATATTGCGTAAGATGTATCGGTGAAATCCCTAACTTGAGTCGATCGGGATTTTCCCTCTCTCGGTAGAAATCTAAAGTTCACTGGATACCAAGTTAGGTGTTCCAAAAGTTAGTCGAATACAGGCAGGGGACCAGATGCGTTGCAAGTATGTCCCAGGTGCTCCTAATTGAATATGGGTTCACATTTAGGATTCCCGTTAGGTTTTCTAAAATAGTTTAGTGAAACCTCTTCAACAGATACCGGGGAGTCTTTGCATGAAAAAAGGTGAGGTGTCATTCAGGCAATTTCAATTTCATCTCTGTCAAGTTTATTGGAGGTTACTATACTGGAATTGGACATTAAGATGACAGACGCTTCTGATTAACATGCTACTCAATTCTCGACTTCGTATGGTTGCTCATTTTCAACCGCTTGGTCAATTCAGCGCGAATATCAGGTCAACTTTTTCATCATCCAAGCACTTAGAGTGGTCAGTTTGTTCTATCGGGATACCCCATATGCTCAGGTAGCAGAGTGAATTTACATATGTGTCACATATTTGGAATGAATCCTGTATGAAACTTTGAAAATTAAGGAAGTTTGCCATTGGCAGCATTCGTTTAGGTTGCCGAGTCATCCATTTGTTTCCTTGGTCATCTCAAATTACATTTCCATACGTTGAATCACATTTTACTGTGTAGTTTTGGTTTTTGTGTTTCGGACTCGTCAATTTGTTGATGCTCTATGAGAACCCGAAAATTAGTTATATGAACAGAAAAACGGGGAGCGCTAACAATGTCAGCTTGTTAAGTAAAATGATTACAGTAGATATATATGCGAACAAGAGACTTATCATATTGTAGATACAGGTTGATAAATCCTGTTGCAAGTCTGGATGCAGTTTTCGTTTATTCTTCGCTGCTATAGCAGCCACACATTTCCTGACTATCCGTGAGTGAAAAAGTTATAAGTCCTGAGCGGCTATGCTCTGAGTTGGGCGACGTGCACAGCTCTGTTGGGTCGTGTCGTGTTGTTATCCCATACATAGGGACGTTTGCGTGTGTCAGTACATGACTTGTTGCTACCTTATCAGACGATCGATGTCAGATGAGTCAGCCTTGTGTGTCGTGACTTGTACGGGATNTGTCGTGACTTGTACGTGTAGGGAAAGGAGATCTAGGGATCTAGGGCTTGGCTGTGTTGTCAGGTCAGTCACGATCCTGTGGCGTGATTTGTGAGTGTAAGAAAAAACAGATCTCGTGACCTAGTGAGTGGCGGTGAGCTGAACAGTCATGTATGTGGTGAAAGTATGACTACAAGGACTCAAGCACTACCCCCTCAAGTTTCTATTCTGGTCATGCTTGCTCGGGTTTAGAACGGGTGCAGGTAGTTAACTTGTTTGCAAATGCAGCTTAGTGGCATTACACATTTTGAACATGAGTCCTTCAGTGTTGTCCGACGTGACGGGTGAATCCGGAAATGGGTGAGAAGTTTGGCTTTTGATTCTGACCTCATTGGTAGGTTTCTTGTATGTTCCTTTCACTGTTGATGAATTTGAGAAAGCATGTAAATGGATTACGACCAGCTGTATTCACACATAAATTATATCAGCTGTCACTTCCAATGCGTGGCTATCTAGCCCACTCCCAAATCATCGGCGAATGAAACTAGCAGCTATAATCATCGTCTGGCAAGTACCGCTGATGATGGTGTTGTTGTTGTTGATGATGATGGATCAAAACACTTCGGCACCAGCTCATTTTTGAGTGTCAGGGGGTTAGACCCTTTTGCTAGTGACACAATTATTGTGATCACTCATTTATTGTGTTTGGATTTGATATTGAATGACCGTACTTATTCGTGTATTACAAGATGCACGTTTCCTGCCAATCTACCGTATTTGCCTTCACCTCGGTACGATCAAATTAACACCCCATCTTCTTGAGTTCTTCACAGTATGGCGATTGTTTTACATGTACCCATTCGATCTCAGGGGGGGTACGATTTACAGTGTGCTAAGTAGTATAAGTGAGCAACACGGTGTGGATCAATGATCCTAGGCCACATCCTTCCTAAACGACTGTCGTGAGCCGTAGCAGACGCAAACGCATAACTGATTATATACACGAAAACGCTTAATCATCGGCTCACATCATTCTTCTGAGCGATGATATCCCCAAATTCAGGTGCCCTGGTCCATGCTGTTCACTTGGCGAATGTAAATATCAGATTGGTTCGCATACGTCTGGATACAACCTGATAAAGATTTGATGCACGCAGGAGGATTAGGTTTCTCAATGCCGCGAGTAGACAACTGTCTTGAGGGCATGACGGGACTCACAAGCGATGTGCTCATTACAGCATCATCTTCTAACTGAAATTAGTAGCCCTTCGTTCACCTTATGCTGTTGAACTGGAGAGACAAAACTAAAGCTGACGCCACTTCAATCTGGTCCCGTGAAAGCTGTTACGGGCAGACTGGAACTTATCTTAATGCAACAGTTTGCGTACCTCACTAACCCATAAAGCCTTGCTGACGGATGCTTGTGGAGCATCCACACAGTGCCTCCTGTCAGGTTGGTCAGTGGATAACATTCCGACAAACACAATCACCCGGTCCTCCAGTTTGGGGTTTGGAACAAGCGGCGAACTTTATTCTTGGAAAATTGGCTACCCATGTAGTCTGCATTGTGGGTAGGCTTTCGAACCAAAGCCACTGACCGAGGGCGCTAATCGTACTTTGGGCGCCCTGACGGTAATTTAGCCCACAAATAACCATGAAATCCACGGATAAAAGTAACTTCGTGCCACATCAGCCGTTGCACGGTGACACTCGGGTCATCATCCTATTCACCGCAGAAAAGAGAGTGGGCAAGCCGAAACGTGCTAAGACTCACAACTCCTAGCGTTCTTCATTGCTATTTCTTAACTCCCCCTTGTTCCGTTTGAGAATCACTTTTACTCAGATCCCAGTTGTAGATGCTTTAGTCAAGCACCCAAGGAACTGACACTGTACATTACCACTCACGTTCACTGCTCTGCTTCCGCTACTTAGGTCTCGGTCTGTTTATACTTCAACATCTACCGTGAGAACCCTCCCGCAAGTTGGCCAGCAAGTGTTCTTGCGCATACTCTAGATATTCCTTTGATTGACTTCCGCTGCATCTGTGAAATTCGAATACAGAATCCATATACAGTTTTCGTGAACACAACACCCATTCTACCAAGGAACTGTAGAATACGAGCCTCATGTGATCTTGTAGCTGCTGTAGTGGGTTGGACCCGTGCAAATATAGGCCCAGTCTGGGGTTCCGTTGGTCGACTGGATACCTTTGAAAAGTCGACTCCTTTGGTAAAAACTCCCACTTATCATAGCGCCGAACACTGATTGTTTTTTACGCCTGCCGACACGGAAGAGCTGTAGCTTTGGTTCATTGTAAGATGTTCTCCATGGGGAACTGATCACCCTCCTGTTCACAAGGAAGGTCCAAGTTGGCAGGAAATTTCAATGCACTGACAGAAATCCTGAATTGAAGCAAAAGCAGAATTATCATAAGACACCTTGAAAACAGTGATGTCGGCTGCTATGGATTATTGTACTCAGGAAAGTTTTCTTAGCATAGACCACCCTCTGGGACAGTATGCGATCACGAGCGTTCTACTGAAGAACACTCCGGGTAGCATGAACCACGGACAGCATATCAATATAGACCAACAAGCTTATTGGTAAATGCTCCTGCTTGGGCAACGCCGTAAGTCAGCTATGGATTGGACCATACCAATTTTGTTTACACATATTAGAAACCACGATTCGCGGTCCCACTGCAGTAAGACAAAACATATGTGAACAGTCTTGCACAACGACGCAGTGCCTCTAAACCTGAATTTGTGGGTGCGACAGTTCGGACTGAATTTTTGATGAACAAAACCGGTTGCGGCTAATTACGAATACCCAAGGCAGTGAGAGAACAGTCGTCTCCCAACAATATGTCACTTTCACCCGACTAAGAACGCTTCACTCTGACCCCAGGGGATTGGCCTTCGAATTGATACCTCTTGAAAAATCACTTCCCGAACTCCCAATAGAGACTGAGGAAGGGATGTAGTGCTAGCTTACCACAATTATTCAGAAATGCCTACATCTTCGGACACTCATTCAGACGGGCGGACAACGAGAACGCGGCAATAACTTGTAGCATCTTCATTCACGCACGGTGGGGATTACTCGGAGCCTTTGCTGGAAATCAAGTCTGAGCGACACACCACATCATTAACATTGATATCACCATCTGTTAAATGACTAATATACTAACGTAGAGTTAACAGTGCTTTAGGTGTTTTAGATTTCGTATTGGAAAGAAAATCCACATGGAAATGGAAATATTCACAATTAATAGCGCACAGGTTTTGACCCAAACGGGGTCCACTATACAATTCTAGTTGGTGTTTGTAAGCTTCTGGCTCCCTAACAGAATTTTGCATGGTAACTCTGTCCATGGAGGATGGGTCTCTCAGAAAGTTGTCAGGCCGACTGAAGCCAGTTAGATCGTCCTTCATAAGTGGCTCTTGTGCGGGGGGACCGCTGTGAAACTATTCCTGAACATTATATATATGAAATAAAAGTCAATTAAGTTTGGTGGACAGATTCATTCGGTGACATGCTCAATCCACTGGCGTCCGAGGTAGAATAAAGACGCAGAAAAGATGGATGAAATCAGCAGTCCCATACACTGTAGTGACAAGGCTGTCTGTAACGGTACCACGAAGTTGTTATCGAAGGAGCTAAACGAATTTTCAGCCAAGTGCAGCAAAGAAAACAATACGCATACTGCCACCCATGTGGATAGATCCTGCAGAGTAGGGTTCCCTAATGTTCTCCCTGACCTAAGTGGCAGATCAAAAGCTGAGCTTTAGTCTGGAAGGAATCAGGTGGCCGGAAGTGTTGAAGATATCACCTTACAAATTATTAAGCACGAGCCACCGGTACCAGAAAGACCCTTTGAAAGAAGCCGAAAGAGCGAAAGCAGTCTCAGTACAGTTACACAAAGGTACCTCCACACTAATACCTGAGACGTACACGTACTGAAAGTGGGATGCCACGGCTGAGTTGCTAAGCTATCGTACTAGTGAGACTGGTTATTAACCCTTGGATTAGTTCAGCATCACAATATTAGTCTTATCGGGTATACAAGCAATATGTACGTGGTCAGATCTATTTTGTGACAAATTTTATGTGTTCTATCAAGCTGAGGAAGGCGAAACTTTCATGCAGCGGATGGAAACATGGTATGCAGAAATGCAGTCAAATCTCGGCGTCACAGAAGTAAGCCCACTGTTCATCCTGTAGTATAGAAACACGATGTCACTGCCTTAGCCACGCTTTTTACTGTTCCTCATAAAGTATGTCACCTTGTAGGAGTTCATTTCAATCTTCATTATTTTATTTCTAAGTTGTGATGTTTTATATTCTACGTACCTCTATCCTCATCCTTATGTTCTGTTACTACTTAACTTATTGGAAAAGCAATGAGTGGTTACGATTTTAGTTTGTTCAGTCTTCTAACGCGTTACTGGAACATATGAATTCCGGTTTCTAGGACCGAATAGGATTATGCGTTTACAACACAGTCAGCTCAGAATCCGCCGGGAAATTTTGGTGGGAACAGTCAGAATGTACACGTGGTCCGAGATAGATAGACAAAACTTCATGTTCAGCACAAAGTTGCTAATCCATATTGCTAGAGATCCCTCGTCATTGCAGGATCCTTTGTGAATAGATGGTCGATTTCCCTCTGTCTAGATCATTAACTGGAAGATAAGAGTCATAGAAAATAGAAGAGTTTTGGAGAATTGTTCATGTGCGAAAGCTTCATTTAGAGACGGTAAAATATTCAGCAGATATAGCGAAATTGTGCTGAACACGAAGGGCAGTCAAAATTCATGCACTAAGCCTACCTGGCTGTCAAGAAGATCGTCAAGAAGATCGTCAGCGATTTTCAATCGGCTCTGCTGTACGGTTGAAACGGAACTAACTCTGTCCCATTTTCCTGAATTTTAATAAACTCATAATCTTGAGCTTGCCAGATGGCACAATATTACCGGGCTACACATTCAACAAGTATCCGGTTCCCTGACGTTATAGGTTATGTGTAACTTACAGTTTAACAGAAGGCGAAATTCCATTGAGAATCCTGCATGCGTTTGGGTCTCTATGGTCTAATTTTATCCGAATTCATACCAGTTCCCTTTCCATTTTAGGCAAACTAAATGGGAAGAAAACAAGGCGGTATTGAAATTTATTTGCCTATTAACTCACTAACTTACAAAGTTGTTATTGTTCCTAGTTGCGTTGCATGTACAAGTTGTTGTCCGTTTGAGGTTGCTTGCAATTTGAAAATGTAAAACGTGTTCTTGTTTCATCAACACAATATGGGAATTATTTTAAAGTTCAAGGGTCTCGTGGTCAAAGCCTATACGGTATTCTTAATTCAACAAGATGCGGATAGCGGGTTAGGGCACGTGCACACCTACCGTGGTTTACATGCAACATTACGGTTTTGCAAGAGTTCACTAAAAGCGCTCGTAATCTTAGTGGCAACAACTGGCCTCTAAATTTTTTCCATTGTTGAAAAACGGGTTTCTTTCTGTTATGATTTATGGTGAAGTACACGTTTCCCGTTTCGAGTGATAAAATCTGAAGGATAAGGTGGTATGATCAGTCTAGTAACCCGAATTCACTATACAGACGCCCTCGGTTATCACCACTTCTCCGAAATGGGTACGCCACATACCGAGGCTAAGCTGAAGGAGGGTTTGTTAAACCATGGTGTGACGGAAAAGATACGCCTGAGGATCGAATAAATACGTTGAAAATAAATACATGTGGACACGCTTATTAAGTCGCGAGATAAATAACTTGTGGTGACGTCGAAAAGTCACTCCACATGGATGTACTGAAAGTGCCTTCACTTACTCAAAACAGTCGTTCGTACAGTGTGATTACCCAATTTTGCCCGCAAGTGTTCAGTTTCATTGTGGTGATCATTGTTAATTGTTACTGACTACCGAGTACATTATCCGCCCGGAAGTCGAGTCGCACTCACAGCACCCAGCCTTTGTAACCTTCGCTCCGGAAGGTCATAGATTTTACCAACTCTACTTGCGCCTGTCTGAATCAACAGAGAAAACAGTACTCTTCGGCAGACGATGGTTTGGCACACACAATACTGGTCTAACCCCAACTCTACTTGCGCCTGTCTGAATCAACAGAGAAAACAGTACTCTTCGGCAGACGATGGTTTGGCACACACAATACATGGTCTAACCAACACACTTTCCATTCTTCAATGAAGTTCCTGTTGACCAACCGAACACTTGCTTCCTGTCTCGTTGCGGATTCGCCTATACCAGTCTGTATGAGCTATCGTTATAGAACAACGGTTGTTCAACATCTAAAGGCATCTTTGCGCTGCTCGGAGATGCCACGTTTCACCTTCCATAACAAAGACGCCCGTACTGTAGCATAACACACATGTTCCTTAGGGATATGCTACTTTGTCGCGCCCCAAATCAGCAAACATTGCTCGATCCACTACGATCGGAATCAATACAACTTCTAACTTATCTGTTTGCAAACTCGTTTGCCTCTAGTCAGATTTTAGGTGGCGTGTTCACAGTCTGCATGTCCAGAAGCACAACCTTACACCTTGTGGTTGCACAGTGCATGTCAAAAGACCGGATGACTTTTGTCAATTCATCCATAAATACCTGCACATTCTTCTCCCTGAAAACAAGGACGTCGTCTGCATATCCCAGATCGACAACGTTTTCGTTAGCAGCTACTTGAACACAAGGGTTTTGAATAGCTTACAGCCTCCGTCTCATTACCTCCCGGATCACAGAATGAAGTAAATAGTGGGCTTCCTTTACGGAAATCAATTTCCGAACGGAAGCGTTTGAAGAGCCGGCCGTATGCTTTCATATCCGGAAGTCTGAAAATACAAAGAATTTATTATGTTCATAAACTCTCGGGGAATACCCTGCTAGGCACGGACAGGTCAACCGAGCCGCATGCTTCTTGGAAATCAAGGAATACTAAAATTGTGGGTCGTTTATACGTATAGTCTTGTTCTACCACCTGCAGTAGTTTGAAAATTTGGCCAACGGATAAAAACCCTTCGCCGCGAAGTCGTTTATTAGCAAACACCAACTAAACAGTTACAGACTATTGGACAGGACATCTCATATGCACCATATTTTTAAAAACTGAACATCATCACGCGTCTTCTCGAACGCGGCGAAGAAGTCCCACAGGTTCCGTAATAACCCCACCTTCCATTAGACGCGAGGCGGAGTTACGAGGAAATCACATGCTGCTCGCATGCTTCATCAGCAGTATCCGCCGTTACACACCTTTCCCTTTAGAGGTCGCTTGCATCCCAATGATTTCCATTTACCTTCGTTAGGTCGACCCCACCAGTTGGTCTGTTCGACAGCTCTTCGGGTGTACCATTCCACTTCCGAAGCTGAGTCCCATTCACTCTTTTTTTATCCCCGACCGTCTTGAATTGTATAGACGTTCCTCCGGCGGTCGGTAACGACCGCCATTGACTGCCCAGCTTCCGCGACCCCAGTCCACTCCTGGGATTTTGTGATCCTTCCACTTGACCTCCGCGCATATGGGAAATGGTCGTGCCTTTCTACTTGCCATTTTCTCTCTAGTCCTTTTCTGAATGGCGGTCAAGTTTTCTCGAGCTTTCCTCCTTTCCTCTCTTAGCTCCACCACAGACAAGCGCCTTGTCGACCACAACTAAATTTCCTGATCACCTGGAAGGGGCGGATGTCAACCGTACATCAGCATGAACGAGGACTTACCTGTGGTTGGCTGTATGGAAGCACGATGTGCTAGCAACACCACAGCCGGTTCACTTTCCAGTCACATCCTCTAGCCGCCAGCCACTTTTTGATCGTTGGGTTAGGCCATTTGTTTGCGGGTGATATGGTACCGTCGTTCTCGGTCTGATGCCAGCTTCTACAAACAACTTCTAAACTCTTCGCTACCAAAACGAGGCCCCTGGTCCGTGGGGATTATTTTTGGCATCCCGTGGTTGGCCACGATGTGATGGGAAGGCGTATGGTCGAAGGCATTCGGACGAGAGGGGATTTCGTGTCCAACCCAGAGCAGAAGCCAAACGGATCTTCATCACCTGTGAACAGTTTGGAGTATTCCTCTACTACGGACTGTACTGACAGCATATTACAAGACAGAAGCTTTCGGACATGCAGTTCACTTACGGGTAACCTTTAAGCTTGACTGCGCCACACTTTGTCACCAGTTTTCCCCGCTTTAGGCCAACCACGGATTCTGTGCTCTTCAGAAAATCTGCTTGCAAGATCGTCTGCTCTACGTCTGGACTGATGGGGAACTCTTGCTGCACGGACATGTCGCCTAGGTGCATTGAGTGTTTGACAATCCATCCTTTTTCAGTCGGTATCCACCCACTGCTCTCACGGCTAGCGCGCACGGCTTGCATCCAGCTTCGTTTCTTCAGCGTTACTCCTGCTCCTGTTTCAATTAGGCACAGCTTCCTAATCCCGTCTATCTCGATAATGGCCTGTACCATAGCCTGTCATCGCACTAATCGTAACCCATCCGGGGAAAGAGGAGTAATCCAGTTTTATTATTTACAAGTGGTCGGGTACGACGACGTAGATTCTTCCGGTGGCCAGACATGCCACACTTGTAGCATCGGCTCGTTCGAGCGTGCCTCCAAGATTCCGTCTTGATGGCTGCAAGCTGTTCGGCCAGTTGGTCCGCTTCAGTCTGCAGGTCCTCCACCGATGAATCATCCCTTTTCCTGCGACCGCACCGTAGCCAGTGGCGCTTCAGCCAATTACCGTGCCAGATGCACAACTTCCTCCACACTCAACTGGCCAGTTTCTCTCACCAACCACAACTGGCCTGCACACCTTCGAAGAACTGGTCAGACAGCAACTGCTGGCGCGACACTTCGTCCAGTCCAGGCAAAGCCCGATCCAGCGATTGTTGCAGGCTGGCGAGGTACGCCGTCAGGTCGCATCCAGGTCCCATCCTGGCCGTCTCTAATTGCCTCATGGCCTCCTGGCGGTCGACCGGTGTATCGAGCTACGCTGCAAGAGCTCCTTCGCGGCGGCCCAGTCCACCTTCCGAGGGCTACTTCTAGCCGCATCCAGGGCCAACTTCGTCCGGTCTCTGAGGGAGGTTTTCAGTGCAGGCAACTTACCTGTCGGTCTCCAGTCCAGGTGCCTCCGCAAACACCTCGAAACTCCCCAGGAAGGTCCGCACATCCCCATCCTCAAAAGGCTGTGGCCACGGGATCTTCATCCATATCCTGGCGACGACACCAAATGTACGATGGAAAGTTCTTCGCCGCTTTGTCGTCTATTAGCAAACAGTTGCAAACTATTGGAAAGGAAATTAAACGTTTCATATGAGCAAACACACTCATTTGCAAATCAATTTGGCTATCACGGGAGACTTAAGTGACAGCCCACGACCGATTTTGCCCTTCTTGGAGCTAATCGGATACGCGCACTCCCCGAGTATCTCGAATATCGTGAAACATGAGGCGGCCTTAGTGCAGTACATTCAGTTGAAGAATGTCATGAACGAGCGATTCAGTTGAGTCTCCCGTGAAAACCAAATTGACTCTCAAATGAGTGTGTTTATCGAAACCAGTCCAATTTGGGTTCCAGTAGAACATAAGGTTGAAGGAAACTCGAGGACTGCGCCTACCTGATGAGCTCCAAGAAGGTTGTGAGCTTTGGAAGTTTTCAAAAACCTTGCGGCTATATATGATGCAAGGCGAACGGGGTGGTCAGTGCTATCGGATGGGCCCACAAGTAGAGTTATTAGAGGGATGGGTGGGAAGTGAAAGTATGAGAGAGAAAAAGGTCTACTATCCGTAAGGCACATGGCTTGGTCTGTCCGTAGAAGCCTCGGTTTCATAAACTCCACTGGAGCCTTGATATTTTCTGAAGACTAGAGTTTCGGCGATTTTTTGTGGTGTTCCCAAAAAAATTTTGATCAGTCGACGAAACATGACTGAATTATGGGATTTGACTTGAATCTGGTATAATCAATCTGTTGGAATTTTGCCGCTTATTGAAAACTAGTAAATTTTTCGTACGTGTCATAGTAATCCTGGGCGACATATGTAACTAAGTTAGGGAGCGGGCTTGATGAGAAGTTCTGTTTGTCGCACCAGAACCATCGACTTTCGAGAATTTCGTTACATGAACTGTGCACATCGACTCGTCACTCCCTGGTCACACTACCTGACGTTCTGATGTCAACCACATTAGTCGCTGTGATAGTGGGGCGACTTTCGATCATGCCTATCTCACATGTCAGATAACCGGAACACTGGGATACACAGATGAGCGCGAATAAGAACCGAAGTCTATTGAGGTGCTATCCCTTTAGTGCAGTCTAATCACCAGAAGTTTTCAGCAACCTTACGAGTAGCGTGTTCTGTTAAAAAAACACGGGTGTTGTTCTTTTCCAAACATCTGTGACAAAAGGAACACATACTTAGTGAAAAATAGACAGTCCGAAGGCATTGGATCGTCCTGATTACAGATCAATCTATGTAGTGTACTACGAGATGGTACGTTGGATAATAATAGTCAGAGTAGTGTCAAAAGCAGCTTCACATACATTGGCAAAATGTGTCATCCTGTACGTACTTCGGATTCCCTAGACAAACGTAACAGTTGTTTTGGACAGACTCTCATTTGAAACACAAAAAACCGGTTCNAGTAGGCTGAAGTGAACCGGGTGAGCAACGATGTAAAGCATATAATTTACAAGATTAATGGGACCAGAAGAACTCACAGATAACTCAGGCCATCACGTGAGAGCGGTTTTCAAGTAAACTAGGGAGAGAAATTGTTGTTTTACGCCGAAAATTGAAAATAAACTGTAGACGAACAAATAAACCACGGGTGTAGTGATAGCAGATGAGTAAAAAATGTGCCGAAGGTGGATTGGATAAAAAGAAGTTTAAGTGATCGGAAGTTTGAACGAGGATATGTGCACCGGTTCACCGGGGAGACGGGCTATTCGCTGTAAAAGGCTAACCTTTTTAGACGTGGCACCATCCGACTCAACTTCGTACAAAACAGCCAGGTTGAAAATTAATGCATCGTGTAAACAAAACCGCCGCTGTAAACTGGAAAAGACGGAATCGGTGTGACTTTCCGGATCGACCGTTCCAGTATTAAGGCTGGTTAGGAAATCAAACACTTGACCCGACGGTTGGGAGGACAGTCCCGTGGTTGTCAAAGTGTCCAAAACACGTATGGCTTCCGAGAGTTGGCCAAGATACAGGGAACAAACAGCAACATTATTTGCCGCCTAAGTGAGGGTAAAAATCACGGCATATTACGCACCTGTGGGCTTGCGAAAAATAATGGATGAAATTAGAAACATAAAGTAACGAAAAAATTGCGTTTGGGAGAAACTAGCGAGATGCCAGGTAGGTCCGTAGCCTAAACACTGCACATAGAACCGTATAGGCCAGGTAGAATGCTGGTCACCGTAAACGTTGAAATCAGTGAAATTTGCTAGCCATTGATTTTTTGTAGGCCTTACCAGCAAAACACTTCGGAGATGGAACTCTTCCCCTACACAGACATGCGACCGTTTTTTCTTCGGAAAACGCAAATTTTGTTAAACGAGTAACAAAGATCGACTTACATTTACAGCACAGTCCGTGGTATGAGCTACCCCGGTGTAGCACCAAGGAAGCGCAAAACCTTGGAGTATGTACGTACATTCACATTGACAACGCCGTTCACAGGCGAGCTACTTTGGAAGGATTCGTGATGATGATGCAGCGAAATTAGGAACACGAGCAACCACAGATAAACTAATCTCACTCCATACACTGGTAGCAGAGATGGAATCGTTGCACAGAATGGCACCATAGAGGGGAAATTGATTCTGAACCAAGTCCCGTGATCGCAGATTGCGATGACCCGGATCCGATCCCGTATGGGCGCTTTCAAATTGGCTTCCGGCCCCCACACTCGTAATCTATATTTCTGTTGCTCCGTGAATAAGGGCACGACAAGACAATTAACTTGATTCTATTCCTAGAGTGACTTAACAGGTCACAGTTTCCACTCACTCAATCGCACGATAGGTTAATATCGATTCACGGAAACGCACGCTTGAGTTTCTGATCGTCGACGTGCTATTGGAATCGGAATAAGTTGTATCAAATATTATATGGCAATCGATGGAATCGAATGTTGCCATAAATCATAACTGGTGAAGCCTTGTTGTCCAGTCACATATGACATTCCATCATCACCAAATTCAGGTACAATCACGTTCTTTGTGTGGTGTCACCCCTTGACAGGAACCATCCTGGATATCTGGGTGAGGAAACTGTCTGTGATAACCACAGATCGGACATGTACTAAGAGTCGTAGAACTGTTCCACAGTAGACATGGAAATCATGTAGACCACTGGTTAAACCTCCCTCTACAGTACTTATCAGTGACAGGCTGCTCTCGGCTGTGAGAACAGGCCTGATGCGGTCAAGGTTGTTTCAGTCTATTTGAATTCTAAACAAGGGAGGGTTGTGCATAATACATACACGTTAGCGACGAAGTATGGTCCATCACTATGGTGCGTTAAAACGCATAAAGTTAGGGTTAGGAAAGCCGATCGTTGAATGCCATAGAGTCAGTAAGTACCCGAAAGAAATAATATGTGAGTCGTTACCTGCAAAGGAAGGAAGCGAAGAACGGAAACTCAAGAAAGGATACTGACAGAATGGAAATATTTCTGTTTCGAAACAATTGGGTGTACCTTGTATCTAACGTTGTCTATAGTATTCTTCGAAAGATAACTATATTACGTTCCCCTGTTGGAGTTACCTCCCTCAAATCAACTGAACAACTTCGAATTCGTCTTCATACTTGCTTTAATGGGACTGCGGGGCGAGATGGCCCAAGTGGTTAGAGCGCGAATTTACTGACCGGAAGGTCCGTGGTTCGAATCCGACCTCTGCCTCTCAACTTCCCCTGTCTGGGCTTGGGCAACCTGGCAGTATCCCAGCCCTCGTGCTTCCTTCGGGTGGCATGGCAGCTAGGCACCGGAAGGGTGCTACAGCTGAACGCTTTCCTTAATGGGACTGCAAACCCATACCTCTACATTTCAGCTCGCCACATCCTGGTGGACTGCTGAAGACATTATATTTTTCTGATCCAAAACGACGGGATCGTAGCGAGTTACTTCCAGTCATTCTGGTATAATCTTGTGTTGTTATTGGTACACGGAGCACATACGAAAATGAACGATATTCCACAGAAACCTTGAACGTGAGCAATAAAACACAACGGTGAGACGCCACAGATAACTCATTCAGTTCACTTGATGTATCAGCAAACCTGAGGAAACTCTCCTAGTTCGACAGATCGCTAGCACACAAGGATAATTTAAGACCAAAGTACGGTTAACTTTCCGAAGAAGTGAAGGAATGCTACATCTAGGTTCCTAGTTCATTTCACGATAAACGAACTTTCGCAACTTAAATAGTTGATCGATTATGTCCAGTTCCAGTGAAGTTCGTCCTGAAAGGAACCAATGTTGTTGAAACAGTAACACCTCAGGATTCGAAATTAGCTGCGGACTAACTGATTACAATGGAGTCATATAACTAAGGATAAAAATATGATAATGACAGTCATACACTGACCACGACGTTTGTTGGGTCCAATCCAAGTATTTTGTGGAAAAGTCTCTTCGCTTCTTCGTATTCGTTCTTACCGAGGTAGAGGAAAGCCCTAACAGCAAGAAGAAAGTAAAGTGAACGTCACAAAAACATCTGGGTCAGAGTGTTGGATGACCATAGTACAGCTACGTACTCGTGGAAAAGCTGCTGAACAGCCAATTGCGGTTGCCTCTTGGGGTTCGGGTACGAGACTGCTTGTGCGAAGTATGCTTTTGCCGTTTCCAGATCTCCTAGCTGTGAAAGGTATATGAAGGAGTTCATGATGTATAATAACAAAAATGGCAAATATATTCATAAAACAGCTTCTGACGAAGTTTGTGCAAAATAGGTTCGGTCGTTAGCGTTTTGATGAAGAATAAACCTTTCTAAACTTGGGACCAGGATGGTCAATCATCAAATAGAAATGGAGAGGTAAAAACGCGCAGTCACTGTGATAGGTAGAAGTTCCGGCACCAAGTGCAGCTCTCTTTATCATGATGTTTAACATTAGATAAGACGCCACGAGGCAAGCGCTGGAGGTGTCATTTCCGATACGTTCATTTGATTCTCAACAGCCAAACAAGGTACATGTATCGAGCAATGAAAGGCAGCAATGGACAAGTGCATGACGGAGTCCACGCAGATATTCTAGGAGTGACAGGCAATGATTGACTTCGGCACCTGTAGAGGTATATTTCAGTTCGGGGCTGGTCTGCCAGTCGGCACCACGAGATCAAACGATTTTCGCTACTTTGGAAGTTGGTACTCAAAAGGAACAGCCTCTGCTTGCCACACAACTGCAGTAGTTACTTTCCGTTGCCTGTACATTACTTGCCTAATCCAAGAAATGAGCAAAGACATTCCAAATGAGCCTCAGCCGTACTGAACCAACCTGTTTGAGGGTCCAGAATGATATCCGAGCATTTAGGTCATCGTCAAAGAACACTTGGAACACCAACTGCCAAAGGCGACAGGGATAAGTGAATGCTACCAGTTGATGCCACAAAATAGCGACACCCAACGTACCCTACCGAGGGATTCAGAAATTGTAATTTAATCACAGGAGGAAACAAAAGGGAGACTACAGTTTTAGGTTGCTTGGTATGACAAATAAAAGCTAATATAGTCACCCTGCATAGGGACCCTTGTCTGCTTCAAAAAAGTCCATTTATATTTTAAGACTTTTTGCTAAAATATATGGCGGACTATATGGACCATCCACATATCTGGAATATTTTTTTTCAGTAAAACAGAACAGCTGACTTGCAACCGTAGGTGCAAACACCCCAATAACCGCACCTCACAAACTTGCTACACGTTTCATTCATGCTGATGAATCTTTGCTCGGTGTCCTAGCTGAAGGGCGCGTATATAGAGATCCAAGTTTCGATCAAAGGAAAGTGGGACAGCATGGTAGATACAGGCAAGAAATAGAGAGGATAGTATGTTTTGAAACTGGGCAGCTGCGCATTGAAGGTGATAGCTTTGATTCAAGAGTGCCACTGAATGTGTGACCGGGTTATTTCTACCAGTGTCACTAACCATGAATGAGTTGAGTCACGGATCCCCATCCCGGTAGATAGCAATTGTTCACTGGTTAGTGTTTTCATACTTCGTTTGCAGGTCAACCTGTCAACCTCTTCGTCTGTTCCACTCGGCGCAGGGCTGGACGAAGAGCTCTACGAAGCAGCTGGTGTTCTGGCATGCCGAGTACATGTCCTAACCAGCCTAACCTGTGAAGTGTGACCAATTTGCCATTCGCCAAAATCTTTTTTTTATTTTACCAGACTTTATTTCCCGATCGAATAAGTTGTCCTGTTGCTGGTGATTTGTGGAAAAAAAGTCATAATTACGCCCTATTTCAAGCATTGTGGCATTACAAGATACATCCGTTCAGAAGGGTTTGGTCAGCAATCGACAGTTTTACAAAACCCTTCGGAAACGATAACCTCCCAATCGCTTTCAAATTCTTCCAATCGATTGAAGATATGGTCGTTTCTAGAATGTTGAAAAATGCAGTTTTCTCTCTGAAACATGGCTTAGCATCAGTAATATCTGCGAGACAGAAGGATTTTCATCAAGCCACAGGCCCTTTTTTACTAGGAAGGACCGATGTATAATACGTGATTGAGACATGTAAATCATGCCTAACAGCGACCAACGAATTCGCTAGGTTACCTGAAGATAGATACGTCCGAGAATGCTGGATAACCCACGCAACACGGCTTTATTTCCTGAACAGCAAACTGCCAGCTGGTGAACGGTTTCGATCGCAGCCGAATAATCAGAGTCAGAGATATAAATGGAGAGACAAGTGGACAACACCCGAACCTCCCGACAGGTCCACAAACTCAGTGAGGCTGGGAAAAGAAAAGGAAAAAGGTAGTGACACGGCTACAAAAGCTGAGCAACGACCAACGAGAACAATACTAGAGCCTAAGCTACAAACTTCCATAAAAGTAGTCTTTTGAACTGAAGGCAATGGATCAGTGAGCAACCATGGATATTCACTACATGACAGTGATATAAAGGGTAAGATTCCCACCGATCCCAATTACCATGTATTGAAAAAAAGCAAGCAGTCACACATACTGAAGCGTACTTTCACGTTTTCGCTCCATAGGATATGTAACCTGTACCAGAACAAGGAATGTCAGTTGGCTCGTGCCAAATAAGGAACATGGCATCGACTAATACACTCATTGACATATCGTTCTAGTTTTGACGAGAGATTCACTGGAACCCAGGTATTGAAAAAAAGCAAGCAGTCACACATACTGAAGCGTACTTTCACGTTTTCGCTCCATAGGATATGTAACCTGTACCAGAACAAGGAATGTCAGTTGGCTCGTGCCAAATAAGGAACATGGCATCGACTAATACACTCATTGACATATCGTTCTAGTTTTGACGAGAGATTCACCTGGAACCCAGCTAAATCTCTCGTTTACGATATTTTTAATGAAACCGGTACTTACATTCACGATAATCCGCTCCAGGTTGTGTCATTGATCCGTCTTCTGTGTAGCCTTTTCGTAAATTGCACTGAATCTGTCAGAGAATTCAACGCAATTAAAATCACATAAAGACCAGACTACCTAATGGGAAAGGAAACGAGCATATTGCGAGGGCTTCCAAATAGAGACCTCCCACTCCTGAAAATGAGTACCGTCCCGTTTAACCATTAAAAATAACTAACACACTGCAATTCGTGACTCAACTGCTACTTTTTCGCCAATCTCTATGTGAATCGTGTTCTCATAATATGTTCTCATCAATCAGCAAAGTCTGAGGTCGTTACACAACCCGCAATTCTGTGTTAAAAAAAAGAATACAACTTTCGAACTTATTTTGGTCTAGAAGCAGGTCAACAACATTCTCAAATTTGACAGTGACTTAATTCGAATGACCCCGTTGACTTCATCACCCCGTGCATCCGTAAGCTTTTGCATGCAACGCAGGATAGACATGACTGGTGGTTAGCTGCAGATAAATCTGTGCTACCCTAGCCTTACTGCACCAACAAGAAAGGGGTGCACCCACACAAACGTTGCATTAGCCGAGTTGCAGAAATTGCCCAGGGGACGCACACACCCAGAGAGAAGCAGACAATTTCGGTAAATATATAGGCAAAGTAGTATGTACATGTGAAAACAATCAGACGTTCAGTGTAATTTGTTATTTACATCCTACCCAAAGAGAATCAAGAGACCAGATTGGATTAGAATGAAACCCACAGTAATGAAGAATTCGCACTGCATTCTCAGAAGTGACCATATCTAGATGGAGACTGCATACACCGTTACAAAAGTTCTAATAAGCAAATCAGGAACCCTAGTATTGGAAAACTCAAGCATGCTGTGCTGGTAATATTTAATGGGAATGTAACCACGTTGCTACTCAGTACAGCACTCGCGCTGGCTGCCAACGTCGACCAGTTCGTCTCATTTCAAGGGATTGCACACATCCACATGTTATAGTTGCACACAGACCTTTGCCACGAACTAGGGTTGGTTGGAGCACCTGTGCAAGCTGGACTCGCCGGTAAACAGCGACTGAACCACTGGACGCATGTGCATAGCGTAATGACCACAGGTTTGCGCACAACCGAGTGTGGTACTATGCCCAAGGCTACAGCGACGATGTAAATAGAATGATGTAAATAGACTGATTGCGGTGGACCTGCACTAAGCCCCCTCCCAACCCACATTTATTCTTTTCTTCACAATAAGGTTTTCAAATAAACCACGGTTGTACAGCAGCGAAACATTTTCGTCAAACACTTATGGCATGCTGTTGACGATAATCAAGATTATCAGATCCTAGGGAATATGATCAGTGAACAAAAACTGGTCTGCTGTAGGCTTTCAGTCATCGAAAAAGGGTGGCACGACAACGAGTAGCGGCATTAGTTATTATTGGAATACGGTGTAATGTCACACCGTATTATACTATCATATATATGTTTCCGAGAGCTGCTCCTTGGAACACAACTAAAGGTATAGTGGATACGAACCGTTAGCTCAAAAACCTATATAAATTGGATTTGGATAATATCTCGCCCACTTACCTCAGGCTCCTGGGAAGATGGACGTGTCTTAACTACCTACCGATGCTGGACTTAATGGAATAGTAAATGAGATTCACAATGAAAGGCCGTCGAAGATGGAATAACTGCGCTGTATATACGCTCCGTAAAAAACTTTGAATCCGTGAACAGGGAAGTGCTACGGATCGTTCTCCAGAACCTCGACTGTCCCGAGAAAGCCGTTAGCATTATCCAATTCTTTCACTCAGGAAGAAGGGTTCATGTGCGCACCTATGGAACTACCGGCTTCGGAATTGGCACGGGAGTGTAGCAGGTTTCCATTCGAGCTCCTACTCAGTAGAATCTGTATTTGAGTTCGATCTGTGCAAATGCGGTAGGTAGTTCCGATCCAGTATCTTTCAGACGGTTGCCTTTTCAACCAGAAACGCCCCACGGCCGAAACGAAATTGCGGAAGTCAAAGGTCGGCACGCTGCTTTTTGTAGGTGACTGTGTTTTATTCGCACACTTAGGGGCAGGAGTGCAGCACTTACCAGCGAATTTCACTTACTATGCCTGCACAAGGTACTTCGAATTCAATCGTCAGGTCGAATCCCAAACACCCCTAACGATATCTACGGAATTAAATGGACCTGGATACATAAACAGCTAGACTTGATAAGTCACACAAAAAGGGTAACCGACAATCACATCCCAAACCAACTTATTCAAAGTCATTTAAAGAATGGGGTCGAAATTCCACTATCGTAATACTTCAGATGAATTATGAAGAAATAATCTTGGCTTCGGCTTTTCTGGAAAATCTGACACTTGATACAACGGTCTGATGAACTGCCGTCTACATATGCTTGAAAAGTTTGAGGGCATAACGCGTCTGAATGTTCAAAAGCAAGACCGTCATTCGAAACGGTGCTACAATGTTGAGGATAAAAACAGTCACCTGGATCTGTGCAACTTGCTGGCGAACGTTCCCAAGCAGAATCGGACTCGTTAAACCGTTCTTAGCGAGCATATGCTAAAGAAAGTGTGGTCCGAATTTTAATCAGCACTGTATCGTCACACTACGGAGCACCAGTGGTAATCCAACTGCTGGCAGTCCATTCCGTCTAAATGGTGCGGTAATGGGCATTCCCCAGGAAGTGTTTTCAGTATTTTGGCCAGTATCCCGCTAAAACTTTGAGGAGCTGACGGATGAGGTCAGCCCCCTGGTTTAAGAGAGTTGGTGTTAGTGCACACTGGTATGTCATCGTGACTAGATCAGCCGATGGCCATCAAAACGCTTCCACGTGCTTGCCCGTCTATCTTTCCCTCAGGTTTACACTGGTATCAGTGGTTTGGTCACATCGAAAAATTCGGCTCTGCGCAGACCGCTTGTGGTTAAAATTTTGTGAGCAAATGTTCAGTGGATCAACCAGTGTGAACCGGCAGCTACGTTTCGAATACCAGTAAACCATATATATCACCCGATGGCCAATTCATGTCTCAAAAAACAGGAAGGTAAACCATGGCAAACTAGACCGAAAGGGTTCGACTCACGCGGTGAATGACCGCCAACAGGTAATATAGTCTATCCAGTGCTTCTGCAGAACGACTGAGATAGAATGGAAGCTCCGCGTGAAGAAGGCGCAAGGAGAATGGAATAATAGAGCCTGGAGTGAAGCGAAGGGGATGCACAATATAACAGAACTGGTTCAAAAAATATCCACAACCGATGAAAGTCAGAATTTCTCACAAATTGTGTGCACTGCCAAAAGTCGGAGCCGACTATTTGCCGAAAAAACACCCAGAGGTAACGAACGACTATTAGCTGAACTAAAGGACGCTAAGGTATAATAAAGCCCACATGAACTTCTGGTCTATGTCACATATAACCCATTTTCAACTCCGTAACAATGCATTGGAGAACTTTACTGCGTTCCCTTCAACTCGTCTCTACAAATCAGAGTATTTCTGTTCAAATGTGGATATGCTTTTACAATTACCGATCCTGAAACTGACTATGGCTTAGGAGAGTCCATCGACTCGTTTCTAGGCAGATGATGTAAGGTTAATTTTTCACGACCACACCAAATGAGCTGGTTGGGGGTAATTGACAGAACGATTACAAATTATACCCCATGAATAGGTTACATACCTGCTCGTTCTGGGTATAGGTCTGGTGAGTGTTCAAAATATACATTCGGTGCATCTAGTGTCTGAAATGAAGACAGTTCGCACTCGGCCACGTCGTAACTTCGCACACGTACTAGTAAGGCAAGGCGTGCAAGCCAGATCTGAAAATGAGGCATTTCAAAGAAGTTAAGCCAAGTTGAAATGGTCATACAGAAGCAATCGGAGACCCTTAATCTGGCAAAACGTTTCAGATACAAACGGTCCGGAAGATTAGATATTCTCACTTTCCAGACGTCTTAGTGTATTTCAGGGTGCAGCTCACAAATGAGTGAAGATTTTTCGAAAGAGAAAAGTCGGTTTATTATTTTCGGCTGTTTTTTTACACGCATGTGAATCACGGATAATGGGATAATGAGCACTAAAGACCCCATGGTTAAAGAACATGACAAGGGCACATGGCAGATGCACAAACCTCAGGGTAGAGTCACTCTAGTCGCAGTATGAGTATCAGTGTCGGACAGGAACCTTTAAGCCGTGGAATTGTATGCATCATTTGTTCTCCGAAATGTTAAAGGATGGAGCAAGATCAGCTGGGGGAACAATCGTACAGCATATAACTTCCACAATATATTAACCAGGTGTCCGATAGCCTGGAAAAATTTGGGGTGATTGCTTCGGGGTTACTGATCCGAGATGGGCTTCGAGGAAAAACATGATGCTCTAGCACACAATCGAACGGCACTTTCATCCAAACGGTAAAGGACCTTGACTTTGAATGTGTAAGGAAGACGAAAATTTGGCGCGCTAGCCTCTACAAGTGAAGTTCGGGAGACGTATAAGCCGAATCTTATCCATGACAGAACAAGATGGACCACAAATGAGGATCAGTGTTAATTTCAACCGGGTCACTACATATGTGCTAATGTGCTAAATTCGAAAGTCCAGACATATTTTCAGAGAGAGTGGTGGTGGCGGCTTCGTAACTGCTTGGATTACAGTTTCGCTGGCAAAAAAGTCAACTAGTGGTATCAAGCGGTAAAACAACGGCATCTATATGCGCCTACATGCCCAGGAGCATCCTGATATCTTGCGTACAAGCTTGGTACCGGGGTAACCCCACGATACAGCCCATCTACCGGACAAAGCCATGGCCGTTGTTCCTATATACACAAAGTGTGGATAGACCGGAACACTGTCCGCGACTTAACTCGATTGCCTGGGATTTTAGTACCGAGGAAAAGCTCATGCAGTTCAGCATGTCGATCGACTTATGGCAGCCATTTACATGAGAAAAAAGCTCAATTATTGACAACTTGATGACAACCCATGAGAATAACTCAGGTTCAATGTTCCCAATAAAAAAGTGGCTATAAAACCATGTATGTACCTAATGAACTGAACAATACCTGTCCCTAATTTGACAACCCTAGGTTGAGAAATACATGGGCAATTCGCGAAAAACAAAAATGGGTTTATGAGCATTTCGCTCAGCACCTAGCCTTTCGGATATTAAATGACTGCAAGCCGTACTACCTGGGCTCATAACGTAATAATCAACTTGGCAAAGAGACACTCTACCCCTCTGTCGGAAAAAAGTTTAAAAATATGCAACCACCGAATAGTCAGACCACAGGTGTTCGAAAATAGGCACTTTACTGATGAGGCAACACGGACGAAAAAAGCAGTTTTTCGATTACCTGGGCGGTTAATGGAGTCAGTGGTGCACCACCCTGTTCCGGTCCATAACCATAACTGGCCAGTAAGCCGCGTGTGGTATCCAGTGCCGCATGGTACCATCCATTGGCCTAACAGAGAAAAAGCAAATATAACAGTTCAGTCACTGCGTACCTTTGGTGCATGAGGTCCAGGGTTGGTCATGACCAGTGGTCTTAAAAAGAATCGGGTCACGCATCTAGGACCTGATAAGTTATCACTGATTTATCTCGTGATTGACTGTATTTTGGGAAGCTTTCCTTAGTCAATCGTCTCAGTCGCTCGAACAGTCATTGTTACCCAAAAAAATGCGCGCAGATCGCACCGTGTATTAATTCGGCGATGGTGTTCGAAAGGAGAGACAGAGGGGCTGGGAATTACAGCTTAGAAAATCCATTACAAAGAAGCCGGTTCTTATAGCAGGGCGACGGTGTGACCTTTAATGATCCAATTATAGAAGCATCCATCAAATCCCTTCATAGAATACAAGCATCTGGATTATACATCGTGAGTGTTTTCTGACAAACTAGTATAATCACAACGCTTGTATGTCTGCCAAAAGTCCATAAATTCAACGTCCAGATTCGACATACAGTCGGCGTGTTTCCTCTGTCTTCCCATGTAGTTCCCCGTCCGGAGATCACTAGCGAATTATTCGGTTAAGGGCACCTTCGGCTTTGTTTCCCAAATGAAGGGCCTGGATGTTCCTTTTGATGTGGAATCTTCAAACACAAAGGCACACCTGACCGTAATCGTCAATTTACCTGTGAAAACGTAATGGAGAGCAACATAAAAATCGGTGCACCTGTTGTAAAGTTGAAAGAAGCTATTCTGAGATGCGCAGTTAACGCACAATCGATAATATCGCCGAATAGACGGTGTGGCGACGGGACCTCTCCTGCATCCGCTTATAGCCACTATCATCTGCTGTCAATAGGGTGTTTTCGTCTGCCTAAACTTGCCCACTTATCGTTCCATACCAAGAAGACGTGCAGCTCTTCCATTCCGTATCTCCTTTCTTGCAGCAATAAGTTGGTTTTAAAGTCGTACTTTAGAATATAACCAAAGGTTATTGCTCTGTTGAAAACGAGCACGGTAGTGGGCGTATCGCACCGTAGTACGAGATGACTGCCCAAACTATATCAACATGGCAATGAATGCTAGGTACGCAGTCTAGGGTAGTGCCAGCAATTCTGACATGCATGAACCTAGACTCACGAGCTAGCACTCAGTCGTCCGCTCGGCAGTAGACTCGAACATGGATACGAAAGTCATGGTTCAGATTATATGCTCCTTGTTAGCCCATTTAGTTGTCAGATGTAACACATCTGAGCTCCAGTAAGTCACATTATTGATAAACAAATCGTGACCAAAAAATACGGTTCGGCTATTATTTGGAATAACATTTTTAATTGCACAATGATATCTCGTTTGTACCGGGATTACTATTGACTAGGGGCTGTTTAAATTCAATTTTCGAAAAGTAGTCAAAAATTAAAGCTGTTATCGACCTCCGTTTAGTTTCTGGATTAGCTCGAAATTTTATGACGACTGTAGTAACTAGTGGTCCGGCGCCAGTTCCGAACACCAGGTAACGACAAGTGTTGATCAGGAGGGCAAAGACGTCATTTTACAGTGAATATTCCTATTTTCACGTGGGACCGGGAACCAAAAAGTGGACTTATAAGAAAGTGCCAGAAAAGTACTCAATGATGGGGATATGTCAACAGTTGACATGGATATATTAAGAGCTTTCCAATAGGGTTTGAGTGGATCAGAAGATCACGATGCAGGTACGTTTAAGTGTCCAGATTGATGCGTTTTTGCTTGATAGGTTGACTAACCAGTTGGTGAGTGCATTGATATAAATCACCGAACAATGAACCCCTTTGAAGTGAGCCTTAAACACGCGTGAGGATTCCGCGTTCTATGTATGGAGAACAAAAAACCGGTAATAGTGAGCGTAGTCAGACGGCGTTAGTCATCTAGTCTTAGCGTCGGAACAGAAACCCGGATATCACAGCGCAGGCGCGAAAATGTCCGCAGTTTAGAAGACAGATTTAGATCATTTTTTGAGTGGAAGACGCTAATAGAAGCACAAGTTGGCTTGTCTGCTATGATGCTACAACGTTCACATGGTAACGCTCAGATCTTCCGCCACCCATGTACTTTCGGTCAGATTAAACCAAGCGAGGTGGGTCGCAAATTAAAACCGAGAGTTGCCACACAGGGAAACTGAAAACGTGGAAAATGATGAAAAAGGGATATGGCGATCAGCGTAGTGAATCGACAATGCGATATCAGGTTGTAAATAGCTTAAAATGGTCCCACAACATCTCCCTGGCTATAAGCTGCTTACAGTTGGTCAACAAATCCCTGAATGTAATGTATGGCGAATGGTAGAGTTCTGACACTCGACCAAGTTGCGTAACACCTCAGTAAAGGAATCACATCAAGGAAATCTGTCTAGTTCATTTCCTCTACAATTGGTGTACGAGGTAGGTCACCTAGAGGTGGGACGGAGCTCCGTTCAAAAACTTACAGCAGTGCTACTCATGCTTAAGTGCGAATGACTACTTCAATGGCTGCAAGTGGCCAGGCCTAAGGCTTTTACCTGTAAAAGTTTGTGATGACGCTCAGTAATCTCCGTCAAAGACCTCAAGAATTTTGTTTCAGGTATTGAAACCATAATTGCTCGTATTGGATTTTATTTGGGTTGTGGACACCAAAAACATGGCATCAGAAACGTAGACTATCTCGCAAAGGCGAATAAGCAGCCCAATTTTGGTTACCAGGTTGTCACAAGAGAATGTGTATCGCACGTCATCAGTCGTCATACAGAGAGAACGGTTGTCTGCTCGTTCAAACAAACACATTTTTCAGGTTTCTAACGTAAACTGATTGAGCGATAGATGAAATGGTCTACATCAAGTCGGTTTCTTAAACTGCTGAAGGCCGGAATCCGAAGAATGAAGAGTAACGCGTTGGTAATGACCAGAAAGTCTTCGGCATGGCGGACAAGAATAAAAAGGGACAAAACGACATACTGACGAATAGTGTTGAATGAGAGGAAGGAATTAGATTCTCTCCTGCGCGTTTGTGGTTTAGGCGAGGTGAAGAATGATGACAAAACCAACAGAAAGATGAGGATTTTGGAGCGGAATCTATCTGAACACATTGATGGAAGCAAATGAAAACTCGACAAGAACGCCTTTTACAGCGAGACTGTCGCCCCTCAAGACTGACATTGGCTTACGGGCTAAACAATCCATGTGTAAACGTGACACAACAATGTAACTGTCTGACGTTTTACAGTCAGCAGATGCTGCTTCACTGGAATAGTAGTATGGTGCAAAAAACGCTCTAGTGTGAACACGTCCGCCCGTTCAGACGTGAAAATTCAGATGCGTCCAACATGCACTGGTGGGGAAGTGATAACACGCTCGTCTCGCACGTCAGGTGTCCGGATTTCAAACCCCGGCACGGACCTCGTTATAAAGACGTTAAGTACCTACACATCGAGCGGTCGTTACCCGGCGGATGTTTCGCAGAGATACACCTATGTGCTTTTTCATCAGAAGTACTTTCTGAAACCCATGCGAAGGATAGCGCTGGTAGGAGAAAGACCACGGAGTATTGGGTGGAGTTTAAAATGAAACAAGAGCCCCGTTGGGTGTGTGCGGGTATTCTGCAAACTTTCAGCGTTTCAGTTCGAAATATTCCTCGTTTTAGCCGAAACGACCTTGTAGTACTAGCAGGATTTGTCATCATGACCGTCTGTGAGAAAAGGTCTTTAAACCAGCTAGGAATGGAAAATATCCTCATATGCGAGTAGCAATTTCCACATGCATTAAAAGCTTATGGCATACTAAGCAACTTCAAAGATATCACTGAAGGTAGTGTTCAGTGCAAATTGCTGCGCATAGAATTCTAAATAACATTTGAACCACTCAACATCTGAACTGTTCATCAAAACTCCTGTTACCTAAGAAACAAATGGAACTGAATCAACAGATTTGGCAACCACAATGAATGAGTTATCACAGCCCCTTTATCGCGATGTTTGGTGGGGTTGTGAAGATTACTGAGCTCTTCGCAGGGCGTGTGCGTGACGAAAAAAGTTAAGGACCACCAGTCTGATATTTGGGCTGCTTCCAAAAGGTAGGTCATTTTCCAAAAATATCATTTAGAGGACTTACGATTAGCTCCTTCAGATTTTCAATGGTGGGCGCAGTTTGTTCCGCGCAACTAGGGACACGACGGAGTGCATCAACTGTTGATTCTTCCGTCAAATACCGAAGCAACAGTATGCGATAGGGATCACCCTTGAAATGAGCAGCATCTTTGCCCTCTGGGTCTACTTTAGACAACATCGGTCTGATCTCCTGACATGTTGTGGAACTGTCGCACTTGACGTCCAATAAGGCTTTTCGTGTGGACTCTGACGGTAACCACGCGTCACGTTGCCGCAGTCGAAGAGCTGTCGACTGATCCAGTGATATGCATGGTGTGAGAGGCTTCAAACCATCCGTGTATTGTCCAGGGGTTTGCTGGAAGCATAACATGAAGTACGCCTGATAAGTAAGCTATCTTGAATACCAGAAGCATCCTATGCTTCGGCCTAGGATAGCAAATCTAGATTACTATAGACCTGGTAGGTTGCACAAATGGTTGCAATCTGCCACCCATATCGTCAAAGGGCCCGTTTCCACGACAAACCTTATGACAAAAGAATCAGGAAATCGGGAATTTACCGAAGTATTGGTATCTCAGGCGTGTTACTTGGCTGCTAATCAACCAACACCTGATAAAAACCTGAGTAGATATATCGGGAAAAATGATACCTAGTATCCTTGGTGAGCAAACTGTTGCAGACTAAAATGGGGTAAGTTAGAACCCATCGTCAAGTGTCCAGCTTCCCGTGCCAAAGGGAAGGCGAGCAAGCGTACGAGAAAAAATACGGTGCCAGGAAATTATGAGAGCTTTCAATTAACCAGGGCGTCTACGTACAACCATCAAATATTCGTTCAGTTCGGTCAGTATGGTAAAAATTTCCGAACCCATCATCGAACAGGGGTAAAATCGGATGGCCTGGAATGACCTTTTCTAGATCAGTTGTGTCCATCGTCTTCGATACCGGCATCGTCTCACCAATTTTCCACGGTCAATCAGATCAATAAACTCAGGCGTAGGAGCAATAAGGGACAAGGACCACAGCGAAAAGGTAACGCATCTTAGTGGTTAACAACAAAAGACAAATGAAAACCATCTAGAACTGCTGTATGAAGTCATATCTAAGCAGGAAATGCCACCACATTGGCATTTTATTCGGAGGTGAATGGTAAGTGATCCCAAAATAAGAGGAGTGCACGGTGTCCGTCTGTTTTTGATGACAATACAAAGATCAAAGATGCACTATTTCCGAGGGATATTTGGCTCATAAGGCTTCAGACCCAACACCACCTGTATTGGACGGTGGGAACAAATCCAACTTCACTGTTTCGCTCAATCTTCATCTTTTGCCTCGTGTATATCATTACCTCCCAATCGAACTTCACTAACGTGAGTCACCTTCCTGGCTTATTCGTCAGCGATCGGAGGAATGTTCTGTTCAGTGGATCACGCGCAGAGATAACGCTAATAAAAATGGGTGGCTCCAAAATTTTGTCACGCGTTAAAGCAGACTGTCGGTAGAATCATCATCATACTGTGGTCCCATCATAAAAACTCAATGCGGACAACCTGAGTTTTGAGGAAGCCGGATTCCCCGAGCTCGGATCTTTGTTAAGGATTTGCATTGTTGGCGAGGAAACCATGCAGTTTGTATTAAGCAACGAGTGCCACTGATCCACGGCGACGAATAAATCAGTCACATCACTCTCAAGTGAACACCTCTCTTCGTATCCTGGCGCAATTATTCTGGTAAGTGCAAGTCAATCAGAGCAAGAACTAGACTCGAGATTCGCCCTTAATGATCCGCATTAAAAGCATACCGCCATGGTCAAACCGGGGTCTGAAACCCGGTAGTCTGTTACAGCAAGTGGTCGTGTTACCGGTGCCCCATCTACATTAGAATAACCAAATTTGAAGAGGTGAATCCGTGAATGCTTGAGCAATGCAAATAGTTTGGCCAAAGCCTCGAACGATACAGTGACAGCCATTGTGCTTCCATCAACTGAATGGGCGAGATGGCTCAGTGGTTAGAGCGCAAACTTACAAACAGAAAGGTTCGTGGTTAGAACCCCAACTCTGCCTCTCGACTTCCCCTGTCTAGGCTTGGGCAACTTGACAGTATCCCAGCCCTCGTGCCTCCTCTGGGTGGCATGGCAGCTAGGCGCCGAAAGGGTGCTAACAGAATGATGGTACCAGGATATAATGGCTGCTCAAATGGGAGTGATGTGAATGAAAATCCCACGAATCTCCACCTACGGATAGAGAACGTTTTCATTTCGGTCACTAGCGAGCACTGGATAGTTCGAGGACTCACCTTTGGAGGGGAGAACTCCTGGCTGAAAACAGACTCAAACGGATCCTCGGAAGTTGCTTCAGTTGTGAAATAATTGCTAAGAATTGGTTTTTGTCCATCAACAGAGGCAGTATCAGCAATCGGCATATCCGCGGAGCCAGCGGCTGTAATCAAGTATTGAATCAAGTCTAGGCAACGTACTGAGTGGTTCACAAGCGATTCGGTCATGGGGTGGTTTCGCACAGTCGGACTTCTGGGAGTGTGCATCGTTCAGCTCCATAGGAAGGGAAAAATAAAACGAAGTTCGAACTAAAAATTAGAAGAGAACGAAGGTGCATATACAACCAACTACATAATAATTCTGTGAATAGCAAATGTTTTCTCATAGACCGGTAGCATCGAGTAACGGCCACCAATTTCTTGGTCACGACCCGAGAAAGCGCCACCACACTCATCTAGCGGACCTAGTGTGATTAGCCATGTAAAGTTTGCTAAGTCGAGCTAGCGGCTTCTCCTATCACGCAAACAGGATACACACAACCATCAGAGAAATAATCTATCACGCTGTTCGAAACCAGACTGGTCGTTCGGACCAGTTTGCTAACTTTCCGGGTGCCATCTGTGTAAAGTTCAGTCCCGATCATCATCCAACTTAGGCCGATTCTGCTTCAAGGCCAGCACTTATAATGACTTTCACCAGTCAATGGAAGCAGCCAGAATGAAGCTCTTTGGCTGTTGTACCCCTTGCGAAGGGTGTTGTTACCGGTAGGGAAACCCAACAGGGAATGGATCGAGACCACCGTAATCCCATATAAACCAGGGACATCGGAGGCCATTCGAAGAATTTTAAACACAGCTAACATAAGAGTAGCTTTCCATTCTGCGCTCTGCACTGGTGCAAATAAAGGATCACCTCCCGGTAAACAGGACTAGGGACTGTGTATACAAAATAAAGTGTAACGACGGCACTAACGTCTATATAGGACAGACGACCAGGGAACTACACATCAGAGTCAGAGAGCATAGTAGAAAAATAAACAGGCCGCCGAGAAACGCAGATGAATATCAAGCGTTACTGAAAGACTCGGCAATCGCGGAACACGCACTGGACACGGGGCACAAAATAGACTTAGAAAATGTTGAGGTTTTGAGGCGAGGACTACGGTCCACCTCACAGAGACTGATAGCAGAGGCGGTCGAAATCGCCAAGCATCTCAGCGTTAACAGAATGGAAGGCGTGGAACTGGCAAGCGTGTGGAGAACGGTCTTGGGTCACTCGAGCTAACACGTGTTGGTGTGCGATCAACAGAGGGAACAGTGGTCATCACCTGAACTCCACTTAACCTTACGCACCTCCAGTCCCCCCAACTAAATTGTCGTAACATTCACGTCCTCAGATGATCAAGGATCTACCAGTGGCACCCGGGGTGAATCATCAAGTGAAGCACCCTGAAGTGGAAGATTAAGGAACGAAAAGCGATCGGAAGTAATCTGAAACTCCTCCAACCCACCAATTCAAGAACTTGACACCCACGCTAGCCGATAAGAGCTGTTAATTGACACTCAACAATGATCTAGTGTGAAGAGGACTTACTGATTGGTTCCCCGTCTGTCTTATAACCTGGCCAATTTGGTGACCTGTTCACTTGGCCTGATGAAGCTTTTTTGTCAAAAGCGAAACGTTGCCCAAATAAAAACTACCAATTGTTTACCAAGCTCTTCTGAAACTTTTTCTAATTCCAACCACGTTATTGTGCGGGCACGGTTATCAGCTGGCTTTCCTCCTAGATCGCTCATGCAAAACCAGCCGACGAATCTCAGTAGCTGAACAAGCTGATTTGCCTAGAATGACACTGGAAACACAATCAGGCTAATGAGGTGAATAGTTGCAAGAAGTTAGAAACGGGGTGAAAGACCTTAGGCTCTCCGCCTTTAGGATTGTCTGTCCAAGCCGTCCGATTCGAATAGACGAACACCGGGTACTTTCAAGAGCATCAGATCTCATTGCTGTCAGAAAACCACGTCAGCGACTAGCGAACAGAATGGCACGCGCAGATCCCTAAAATGTCGGGTAATCACGAGACTGAAGAATGATAGAGGACGTTGGTGGATTGAGAATGGTCAGATGATGGAGAAAGCTTTCGCTACAGGCAACTAATTCGATCAACCGACACAAAGATAAATGTCAGCGGAAATTGCGGAAAAGACAAAACGGCAATCAAACAACATAGTCGTCACCTTCAGCGATGCGCTGAATAATTTAAGGAATATTTCAGCTGGCATCTTTCAGTACAATCTACAACAGAACTCGACCAACCGGAGTGAAATGCCGAAAACACCCCATTATGAATACAAATCTAGCGCAAAACATCATCCCTCCAAACTGATAGTGCACCCGACCCCGAAGGTCTGCACCTATATACTGTTCAAAGGTGATCAGGATACTAGAAAATAAGATAACCATTCAGTTGTAACACCCTTTCGGTGCAATCCCACGCGAAGGAATGACAA